TCGATAAATAAATTCGTACAGTTTTAGTCATTTATTAATTTAGAAAAAAGAAAAAACAAAGAAACTTATTAAACAACCTAATATTTAAATGATCTTTCAAGTAGATAGCAAAGGTAACACATTAGTGTAGTTATCCACAGCAAAGGGAATGTAAAAAAGCTTGGATCCGTGCTTGCAGAATATTCATAAGTTTTCTGTATAAAAGGGACATAAAATAAATTTACGTACACCTATATATGTACAGACACACACACACATACATACATACATACGTACGTATACAGAACATATCACATACGAACGTTTCATGAATATTTTCTGCTTCACGAGGAAAGTGTAATTCTGGTTTGCTCGAGGAACTACCACTTGTTTAAAGTGTGTTGTTAAAATAAAAAAAAACGAGCCTTATACCAAGCAATAATAATAATCGTCGCGTGCGTTCACGATTACTATACTTTTGTTGAAAATAACAAACGCGGAATTTCGCATCGTTAAATGCACTATTAAACTTACATAATCTATACATATATTTCTATTTTAAATGTATTTATATATATATATATATATACGTGTGCGACACGTGCCACGTTGTTTTCTTTTATTAGCTAGTTTTATTTCCTTCTTCTTTTTTTTTAACTAACATTAAACAAATATTTCGATGATTATTCTATTCTCGTTTTATGACATTCCGAAATGTCTGTATTATATATATATATGTATACGTGGTTTCATATATATATAGGATGAGTTACGAACAATTTATTATAAGATCTAAAATCATATTTTATATTTAATTATTTCAATATCTCAATATATAATAATTATTGTGATACGTTTAATTATTATGCACAAACATCGTTTTTCGATTGTCTTGTCTTTTGCATAATCGTTCAATTAAATCTATCGAATTTGTTATAATTTTATTGACTCTTACTTTATAAAAGCATATGTATGATGTATTATATTTATTTATTTTACATATATGGCTCTCATCGTATACTATTACGAATGAACAATTTTCGTGTTTTGTGTTATTGATCGTATTATTATTTCTTTTTTGTTTTTATTTGAACCGATTGGCATATTGTATGCAACATATGTAACTCTCGAAAATATTTCAACTACGATAAAGCACTCTTTTTCGATTATTCAACATCATAACCATTCGTTACGTGATAATAGAAAAGAGAGAAAATTATTTTTCGATGGTATATAACAAACAAAAAAAATGAAAACAAAAAATATATTAAAATTATTTACTCGTTAATTTGTTGTTCTTCAAATATATTGTACAATTTTGACGATATTTTATGCATTACGTTGAAAATATTAATATTACAACGATCTAAGTAGTGTAAGTGTTATTTTGACTCAACATAAGAAATTAAAGAAGCAAGTATCAGCTTTAATAAGAATAGAGAGAGAAGAAAAAAAGGGAGAAAAAAGAAATGTAATAACACTCAATCGGTCAGAAGAAAAGTGTGTTAGTTGTCCCGGAAGGGAACGGCAGACAGTTTGGCGTCGTATCTACTTAGAAGTGGTGCAACCCTCGTATGTGGTCCGGCATGCGCTCTACGAAGGAAGACTGACCTTGACTCTATGGTGACTAGGACTGTGTCCTGTGGAGGAGTCAATCAGCTGATGTATGTATTGTATAGTGTGGAATAAAAGGAAGGAAAGAAAAAAAAAAAGAAGAAAAAACACACGCAAATATTTCCAATGGAGAGATGCATTAAAATAAATAATAAATCGACGGGGTAATAATGAAGTAGCCAAAAAAATAAAAAAAATGAAATTATAAAGAAAAAGAAACAAAAAATAAAACAAGGAAGCGCAGATAAAAAGAAAGATAAGTTTAGGGTATTTGTTCGGGAACGAAAAGATGGTGACGAAGGAAGAAAGATATAAGGAAATGGGAAATAAGGAAACGAAGGGAGTACGGAAAGAGTGAGATAGATAAAGAGAGAGAGAGAGAGAGGGGGGTGGAAGAGAGGGAGAGGGAGTGCCATGATGGTTCCCCGATGAAGGGTCAGGAACAGGAGTGACTCCGTCTGGAGGGGGTGCTAGTTGCGGAAGGGGTGCGGGTTGGAAGGAGAGGGATGTATTGATTGCGCCTGGTTGGCACGACAGAGAGCAACAGAGCGCACGAGGGTGGTAAAGAGGAGGAGGAGGAGGAGGAGGTGGAGGAAGAAGAGGAGGCTGCTGGATATCTAAAGAGGGAACAAGACGGGAAAAGGATAGAAAGATATTATGAAAATAAAAAGTGAAGGATAATAGACGGGCACAACAAACTAAAAATATGAAAGACGGTTAAAAAGATAGATAGATAGATAGATAAATACATACATATATTTTCGATCATTGCTATTGAAAAAAAGGATAATGTTAATATGATATTACTATTTGTTTTTTGTTTGTTTTCTTAGAAAAAATGTTCTTGGGAAAAATAAATGTAATATATTAAAAGATATAATATTAAAGATAAAAAAAAGATAGAATTATTATCTGAGATAGATAAAGAATGGATTTAAATTTATAAGAATACGGGAGAAAATATAATAGAAATAGATGTTATCTAACTTTAAACGCGTTATAGTTTAACGTTAGGTTTTCCTTAACGAAAACCAATGCAATTCAAAGATGTTGCTTGGCTATTCGATGTTATGCGATTTAGGTCGTTAGAATAGTGTCCTCGATCTGTCGATCGTACCAACAACGTCACATCGTACTCTAACCCAAGAGATTCTCTTCCGGATCGTAGATTCGAATCGATAGGTTTGGCACGTTTACGAAAACCAGTAGGAAATCAGTCTGGGTGGACGCGAACGAAAAAAAAACGAACGAACGAACGAACGGCCAAATGAAACCTTTCCAAGTTATTTCAATTTTATCCTTTGCCAGACGAAACGAAGGAGGAAAAGAGCAAAACGAGAGAACAAGACAAAAAAAAATAGGAAAGAAAAGAAAAGAAAAGAAAAGGAAAAAGACTGACAAGAGAGAGTTTGAGGGATCGAGGGATGCGGGGGTTAAGAGTTTTTGTTCACCACCGGAGCATTCACTTTAGGAAATCACGAATGGAATCGACTAAGTGCCGTCTCCCGATGTTCCAATTTCGACTACTATTTGTTTTTTTTTTTCTTTTATTCGTTCGTGTCACTTTTTAACCCAAAAGTTGTTTTACAGGTTCGCGTGGATAAAAATTGGGTAATTTTCTTTTTTGTTCGGTATTTAAAATATGATGGGGAACGATTAAAAAAATTGTTGGTCAAAGAACCTATTTTCGCAGGACACGCGTTCGAGGATAGTTTTCTCGTCGAGTAAAAGAAAAAAAAACGCACTCACACACACATATACTTATAGACAAGAAAAGGAGATAAAAGTTAAAGAGTAATCAAAGAGAAAAGAAAAAAAAAAATGGGAGAAATGTCTGACATCTAGTTAAAAGTGAATAACGTTGTTCTTTTTCTTTTTTCTTTTTTTTTCTCTATCGTTACGCCACGCGCGAGTGTCCCATGGCCGATTTATAGCCAACTACGTCCCTGAACTCCTTCTACTCCTGACGTATATTCCGTTTTCTTTTTTGCACTATGCTAAACTCTTTCATGCTCGATCCTGACGAGCCGTGACTCTCTTATCCGCAGAGGAGGGAGGGAGACGAAGGACGAGAGAATTACGTAACGATCATTGATCTCCTTCGTGCCGATAGTCCAGGAAACTCCTGCAGTTTCTTACCTCATCTTCATCTTCTTCTTCTACTTCTTCTTCTTCTTCTTCTTCTTCTTCTTCTTCTTCTTCTTCTTTCTCAGTCGATTACAATTACAAATTTTTTAGATTTCAAGTATTCTACATATAATTCTAAACATTTCATTAATATTTCAAGAATAAATAAATATCATTCATCTAATACGAATGATATTATATATATTTGAAAAATTCTAATTATTGTTTTTAGAATTATACGATAAACAAGAAAACATTTGTGTCAATTTATAATCGTAAGAATGATATCCGAATAGAAGAATTTCGAAGATAGCTGTATTAAACAAAATAAAAAAGAAATACAACACAGAAAAGGAAATCATCAAAGAAAAAAGTAGTAAAGCGTCTTCAATTGTCTTTTGCTAAAAAGATTGTGTATATACGTGTCGTATAAAAAATTAAATAGATCATTGTAAAGATATTATTTTCGTAGGAAAGTGAGACTTAGAAGAGATACACACACGCAGAACGTTTAAGGATTAAAAGAATATCAAGGCGTATATAGATGATACGCGTGGCATGGCGTGTCGTGGCAAGGCTTTCTGGATATCGGGGAGAAGGTTGTGCGTAAGAGCAAAGAGGATCGAGCTTTCGAAGGGAGGGTAAAACGGATAGATAGATAAAGAGAGAGAGAGAGAGAGATAGAGCAGAAATGGGGTGGTAACACTGTAGAGGGTAAAAGACATAGATATAGGTGAGTGGATGTACAGGTGGGAAACGCGCGCAGCTTTTCAGGTTTGCCAAGCAAGAAAAGGAGCTTGCCAGGTGAGAGCGGTGGGTCGAGGAGAAGGAAGAAGAGAAGGAAGAGGAGAAGGTGGAGGTGGAGGTGGAGGAGGAGGACAACGACGAAGTGGTGGAAGAGAAGAAGTTGGCTACGTGTTATCGTTTGGACCGACGGAGGTTGAGCCGGTGCGACGCCAGCGTCGCCGACGCCTTTCTAGTTACGAATATATTTCCTCTTTGTCTACCGTGTGGTATAGTCTCTCTTTTTATCCCCACTATACGAACACCACCTCTTCCACTAGTAGCACTACTACAACGACGACGACGATAACCGGCAGCACCATCGAAGCAGTAGTACCACCACCACCACCACCACCACCACCACCATCTCCACGAGCATCATCACCACCAACATAGAAAGAAGAGAGAGAGAGAGAGAGAGAGAACAGCAGCAGTAGCAGCAGCAGTACCACTACTACCATTATTACCACCACCACTACTACCAGCACAACCAGTGGCACCACCACTACCATCATCATCATCGGCAAAAGCAGAAGCAGAATCAGAATCAGAAGCAGCAGCAGCAGCAGCATCGCTGCCGCCGCTGTTACCACCACCACCGGCACCAAAGCTTTCCACCACCGAGACTCCACCTCGGTCAGGAAAGAGCTTTCGTAGAGAGCTCCAGCAACGGTTCTTACTCAGACGTGTTCTCGTTCGCGTAACGCGACGGTGGTGGAGCTTAACGTAGGAAAGTACACGCGTTTTCGTGTTGCGAGGAGGCTACCGAAAAAGCTCGTCTCTCTCTCTCTCTCTTTCTTTCTTTCTTTCTCTTTTTAATAGTCTTTCCTATTTTAATTCTCTATTATATCTATCTCTGTTACTACTTTTCATTTTGTCCCTAGTATTATTTGATCTATCTCTATCTATCTCTCTCTCTCTTGTAACCTCGTGCTCAGCTGTGTGTATATGATATATAACAAGAAGAGAAGGGCGGTGATCGAGGAGAGCTCCGCTAGGGGGAAGGGTGGGAAGGGTGAAGGAGCAGTAGTGGTGGTAGTGATAGTGTACAGGACGTTTAGATGATAGGCGACTCCCGGTGGAGGCGCTACTATCAACCGGTCCCGATCGCTCGGTCACGGTGACGACGCGGCCGTTCGTTCCTCAAAAGGCGTGTCGTGTCCTCTTCCTTTTCCTCCTCCTCCTCTTCCTCCTCCTCCTCCTCCTCCTCCTTTTCCTCTTCCTTCTCTCCTCCTTTTCCTTCTTCTCCACCACCTTCTCTACTCGTAATCATACTCTACCTTCACCTCCTATTCCAATTCTTCTTTCTTTATTCGTCCCTTTACACCTCCCATCTTCTTATTTGTCTTCTAACTCTGATCATTATCATTCTATCCTGATACACATCGAATAATAATAATAATAATAAGTTTCATCTTAAAATCCTCCTCTTCCTTTTCCTCTTCCTTTTCCATCTCCACCTCCTCCACCCTATAATTACTATTACAATTATAATTTTCCATGAACAATAATACTTTATTCCGTCACAATGATATACCTTAATATCGACTATTCCTTTTGTAAGAATCACCTCGAAGGACCGATATTTCCTAATCCTAGTCCTAGTCCTCGTCCTCGTCCTCGAGGATCCCGTTGGCGGCCGCGTTATTCTTCTTCGGTTTTAAAAGAAGGATGAGCGAGAGAGACGGCGCGTTTCGCGACGACGACGCTCGACGGTCGATGTCGCCGTGCTGCTGCCGTCGTTATTCCTGTTACTGCCGTTGCTGCCGTTGCTGCTACTCTTCTTGGTAGTGCGTGTCATCATTATCATCATCATCATCATTATTATCATTGTGTCATACAAATTGTCTTCTCTATCTCTATCTCTCTCTCTCTCTCTATCTCTCTCTCTCTAATTCGTTTCTCTGATTACCTTATCAAATGTGAAACATAGTACGTTAGAACGTTAACGTTCGTACGTGTGTGTATGTGTATATGTATCTCTATCTATCTCTATCTCTTTCTTTTACTTATACCGTCTAAACTCTTTTGATCTCTTTTTATGTATATATGTGCGCGTATACACATACATATACTTAGACGTTCACGTTGTGCGTGCTTTTGCTACCTCTCTCTCTCTCTTTCTTTCTTTCTCTATCCGCCTCTCTCTCTCTCTCTCTCTCTCTCTGTCTGTCTCTGTCTCTCTCTCTTATTTTCTCTTTGTGCGCGCGCGTACGTACACGCCTCTCCTTTCCAAGCGCGTCCTCGTCTTTCGGTTCGGTTCACGCGCCTATGTTTCCAGTGACACGCTGCGGAACTTTTCCTTGCCAAAGGGACCGTAAAGAGAGAGAGAGAGAACGAGTAAGACTGAGGATGAGATAAAGAGAAGAGTTTTAAGCGGATATAGATGAGATACAGAACGAGAGAAAAAGAGAGAGAAGAAAAAGAAGAAGAAGAAGAAGAAGAAGAAGAAGACTTTGAATGTATGATGGGTAAATGAAAATGAAAGTAACCTAAAAGAAAGACAGAAGAAGAAGAATATAAGAAAGACAGGATTGGTGAATTCGGTAGAAGAGAATAACAAGAGAGAGAGAGAGAGAGAGAGAGAGAGAGTGAGAGAGATATGATTAAAAGAGAAAACGAAAGTCAAAGTGTAAGAGAGGAATTAAAAAAAAAAAAAAGAAAGATAAAATACGTTTTTTATAAAGTCAAAGGGTGCAACGGATAAAAGGAGATAAAGACGGACGGACACAGTGATAGGGAGGCTCGAGGATAAGGGTGATAAGGGTGAATTGTATGACAGAGAAGATAGAAGATAAAAGAAGATAGAAGAAGAAGAGGAAGAAGAAGAAAAATAAGAAGAAGAAGAAGAAGAGTGGAGAGCAGCCATTTTGGTCGGTGGCTGTGCGCGTTGCCGATGACCGTGGTGGTGGTGGTGGTGGTGGTGGTGTTGTTTGGTGTTTCTACCGGCGTTGTTCGTCGTCGGTGTTATTCGTGACTGATCATCGTTGTCGTCGTCGTTGTCGTCGTCGTCGTCGTCGTCGTCGTTCCTCGTTTCTCGTTTTCGTCGTCGTCATTGTCATCGTCGTAATCGTAAACGTAAACGTAATCGTGTTTTTTAATAGCAAGTGTTTATCTCTTTATTGAGAGATTAACACGATCAAGATTTGATAAGAAAGAAGATAATTCTGACGAATAATCGAAAAGAAAAAGAAAATAAAAAAAAAAAGGAAGATAAAAGGATAAGGAAGGGGGATAAAAAAGGGGGGAGCAGTGAAAATAAGTAAATCGAGTGTGTGTGTGTGTGTGTGTCTGTGTGTTTGTATGTGATCAAAAACGGAGGAGAAATTATAAAGAGTCGTGCGAGCGAACGACAAAGCGAGTGTGTGTGTGTGAGAGAGAGTGAGAGAGAGAGAGTGAGAGAGAGAGAGAAGCATTGCAGGGTGCGTGTTGTGCGGGGGTGCACCGCTCTCCGGTGGGCATGGGGCTCGAGAGGGGGATCCGCCCCCTCTCGTAACCGCCGCGAAGCGCCAAGATTTCCCGCATCGAGTTCATCGAGAAATGGGGGCTGACCCCTGTCCTCAAACCGAGGCAGGACCTACGCCCCCACCGGAATGGTGCGGAGGAACACGGCGACACGAGGTACGATCACACTATCATAAACTATTATTTTTTTATTTTATTTTTTTTTTGTAATCTTATCTCTTTTGTCGTGTATATTACATTTTATGTATATATATATATATTTTATTTTTTGTGAAATATATTTTTCATTTGAATATTATATTATTCCTCAAAGACCCTAACACCCGCCCCCCCCGTCCCGACTTACTTCGTCTTCTCCTCTTTCCTTTTTTTATTTTTTTTTTTTTTGGGATGGGCAAAAGGGGTGACAAAAGAAATGATTTTTTTCTCTGTCAGAAAATTCTTTTTACTTTTCATTTCTATTCTTTTCTTTTTGTGGGGGTGGGGGTGATTTTCTTTTCTTGGAATATAAATATGGGGAAAATAATTAGCGAATTGTTGTATTTTATCTGTCATGATGTATTCTTGTTCTCTTTTCGATGTTGGCACTGGTGCTGGTACTGGTACTAGTGCTGGCGTTGGTGTGTGCGGGTTTGCGCGCGCGCACCACCCTCCTCGAGAGAACCGACTTTCCGTTTGTCCGGCAACGTGACGCCCACCCCCGTACGCTGTCTATTGTATAATACAACCGCGTGTCTACTACACCGATAGCCCTTATATATTTATGTATATATATATATATATATTTTCTTTTTTTTTTTGTTTCTTCTCTTTTATTTTATCCGTGTGTTTTGCGAATTCCTTTTTTCATTTTTCATTCTAACTCCTTTTCGTTTTTTTATTTTTTGATTATTTAATCGAGTTTATTATACTCCAAGTGTTCTATCTTCTTCTTCTTCTTCTTCTTCTTTGAGTTAATATTTTTAATCTAATGTTCTTTTTTTTTTTTATGTATATATATATTTTTGATAAATCACTTTTTGGTGAGAATTAATTATACAATTTTATATATATATATATAATTATTATTATATTATTGATTATAAGCTTCTCGTGATCGATGTGCGCAAATATAAAATTAGTTTCTTTTAATTTTCTAGTAATATTGTATGAATTAAATCGTTGTAAAATAATATATATCGAGTTTGATCAATTACGTAGGATACGATATATTACGTGCATGCGATTTAGTATGATATTATCTTTAGAAATAAGTGTCGTTGTCTCAATTGAATAAATTTAAGTAATAATAGTATTAACGCGTTTTCCTATTTTATATATATATATTCTTAAGAAATTTGTTTGTTTTTTTTTGCTTAACTCGAAGGTAAAAACTAAATTACAGTAATTTGCGTACGTGCACTTAAAGTTTCGAGCGTGGTAGTAGAAAGTTAAGAGAGAGAAAGAGAGAGAGAGAGAAAGTTACTGTGAATTAGTTAAATTATTTTCTAAGTCGGTGTCTGTTAAACTTATATGATTCTCTGGAAATTATTTAAAATTTTCTATTTTGTTTCTTTTTTTTTCTTTTTCTTCTCTTCTCTTTTCTATAATAATTTGATTTTTCTTTTATTCGTAGAAAAAACTATTATCGCGTTGGAAACATTCTCTATAGAATATTAGTTTATTATTTTGATGGATTTATATTTCTTACATTATATTTTTTATCTACAATACAATTTTGTTTTACGCGTGCAATTGTTTATTCTACACATTAAACTAAAAAAACAAACAAATATGTATTAAATACATATTTTTGATAGAATTTATAATGGGTACGAGAATTTTGCATGTACTTAGAATAAATGTTTTTCTTTTTGTCGAACATTAGATGTGCGTGTGTGTGTGTGTGTATATATATACAAGTTTGCACGAGTGTTTTTTATTTTCGTTACGAAACATTATAACAACAATAATAATAAACTTGACCTCCCTGGTCAATTACGTACAAATACACACGTACACACACTTATACGAATAATTTTGTAATCGCGATACTTTGAAAGAAAAAAAAAAGAGACAGAGAGAGAGAGAGAGAGAGAAATAAAAAAGGAATCGCGTTCATTTCCAACTTTCCAATTGGTTTTTCCACGTTTCTTTCATGATATTTATGAAAGACGGAGTAATCGTTTGGAAAGTAATGCATGCATGCACGTACGTGTTTATAGAACGAACGCGTGGGCCCAGCTGTCTACTACTACCATAACACCAATCGTTTGATTACAAAACGATGCACGCGTTTTCGCGTCAAAAATCCTTGATACTCGCAATTAGAATACTTGCCGTTCGTCGATCTTTCGGCCTTGAAAATAATAATCGTCATACATTTTTCTTTTTCCCCCCTTTCCCGTATTATCGATACATCTTTCTTTTTCCCCTTTTTTTTTTTTTTTATTTATCGATAATTATTAATCCGAAATCGCAAATAACGATATATTGTGAGGAAAAAAAAAAAAGTAAAGGATAAATAAAAAGAAAAAAAGAAAAATATGAGAGAAAGAAGAACACAAAAAAAAGCGTGTGTGAGAGAGAGAGAGAGAGAGAGA